ACAAATAGTACTTGATCATAAAAAGTAGGACAGAGCTACAAATACTACTTGATCATAAAAAGTAGGACAGAGCTACAAATAGTACTTGATCATAAAAAGTAGGACATAGCTACAAATACTACTTGATATAAAAAGTAGGACAGAGCTACAAATACTACTTGATCATAAAAAGCAGGGCAGAGCTACAAATACTATTTGATCAGAAAAAGTAGGGCAGAGCTACAAATACTACTTGATCAGAAAAATAGGGCAGAGCTACAAATACTATTTGATCAGAAAAAGTAGGGCAGAGCTACAAATACTACTTGATCAAAAAAAATAGGGCAGAGCTACAAATACTACTTGTTTCGCTCAAATTTATACTAAAGAAGATGTATAACGGTATTTAATTACATAAATCTTTTGAAACAGTAAATAACTGGCATCTGAATTGTGGAATCAAGATCATTTTATGTTATTACGTCAAAAAGTCAGCTAAGTGTAGAAAATCTGAGCAAGATTTTAGCCGAATTTTTTGATTCACAAGTGAGTGAAATTATGTTTTTTATGTTTAACACAACCTATACATACAGTAATGAGTAATAAAACTTTATCCAAAATATAAACAACTGCAAGAACAACGTACCAATCCGCAACGGAACTATGGAAAGTTATTGATAAATTTGACAATTTTTTAAAATAAATTCTAATGTAATACTTAGCATATGAAAAATCACTTGTCAATTTGCATTTCTTGGGTGTAAAGGAGGTGAGCAAAATACAACAAATACATAAAATATATGGTACGATTAAAACTACAAGCGGTATAAACGGATCTTTGAGGAATTTCAAAAAGGTGTCCTGCATAAGGCTAGTATTGTCAGGCTCATATTCAACTGTACATTAATAATACAGGGTGTCCATAAAGTCTGAAATTAATGTAAACAAGTTTTATTTAAAGACATAGTTACAATATCTGTTCGAAATGGACACCGCCAAGTTCAAAACATGTGTGTAAACGATACAGCATGATTGAGATATTGGATTTCATTCCGGTTGTTTGTTATTGAACTCAGCAGCTTTTTCTCTCTGTGTCCATCCTTGACGTCCACACAACAGGATAATTTCAACGCGCTCTTGTAGGCTTAACGACATGACTATTACGTATGGTCAACACAAACCTGCAACAAAAAAGAATGAAACGTAAAATTAATAAATAAACGTTTAAAATAAATTAAGTTTGCATTGTTTCCAGACTTTATGAACACCTGTAATAATAATAGACACGCTTTCTTAGGCAATGTGTAACAATATATTCAAAAGCAAATAGGTAGAGTAAGTTAAAAACAATTGAAAACCAAAGTTGCAGAAAGTTACCTAATAACCCGAAAGAACCCAGCAACAGAAATTGTTACAACAAAATAGTGAAGAAAGTAATTTTAGGTAGTGTGTGGGTATATTTCCTTGTCGTTATGTTTCTGTTTTAGCGTAGAAAGAATTATTGGTTTATGATTATATATTTGTTATTACACCTTGCAATACTGCAGTATTAACGATGACTGTTTTATAGTAAAGTTATGCTGGATCTTGTATTCATACGGATTACTGTTGGTTGATAGAACGAAATGTTTGAGGTCTGATATGGCGGCATTGAATAAACAGGAAATTTTGTGACGTCACGAGCAAGACCTCTATAGGGCTGCTGCCAAGTCTACCATAGCAACAAGGTAGGAACAAATCGTATAACACAATAAATCAGTGGTTTCTAAACTGTGTCGCGGCAGGTTGTTAGGGGTATCGCGAGAGTTTCACCAAACGAAGACTAAAAAATAAAAGAAGTATTGCATGTGGCAACATAGATACCCCTCAATTCAAGGTAAGTGGGTTAGGATGCTGTCAGTGAAAAAGTTTTGAAACTACTGCAATAAACTCTGAATTAGGTAAATTTTATTTTGACAATTGAAAGACTGGTAGATGGCAGCAGCTTCGTCTTTATAGAAGGTCTTGCTTTCACAAAGTTCTTCCGGATATTTAAATAGGGTAGAGGTCAAACACAAACCAAGACTGCAAATTGGTGTACACATCGAGTTTCACAATATTAAATCCACGTGTTTCGGGACCACAGTCATCCGAATAGCGGAAAGTGACCTTTGAAAGACCCAGTACACACACACACACACACACACCTATATATTACACATATTTAAGTATTTATTCTTAAAATCTCCCTGTTGTTTGTAACTTTCTATTTATTGGTTATAATGTTATGCAATTTTATTATTGGTTTCATATTATTTTATGAAGAGCATAAGTTTATGTAATTTATGTTTATTTTTTTTACAGGGCTCTATTTCAACTAATGAGGGGTTGAGATCGTGCTCTGTTGCAGACATTTTTACATGTTCCAATTCCAGAATTTGGGTGAATTCTGCAGTTTAAAAGACAAGTGACAAGCTGGTACCATGGAAATCATCACGAATAAACTGTTCAATATTGATTTAAGCTTTTTGAAACTTAAGATAAATACGGTTTACACAGACAACCAGATTTTTCGCCTTCACTACAGAGGAATGACAGTTCTTCTTCTAGCCTTTAGTATCAGTGTCACTGCTTACCAGTTCTTCGGCGAACCAATCTACTGCATTCAGAGGGACGACATTCCCGAGAAACTGTTGAATACGTACTGCTGGATAGAAGGTACTTTTACCCTCCCTAAAGCGTTTAACAAAAAAGTGGGGATCGAGGTTGTGTACCCCGGTGTTGAGACGTCAGAACCCGAGGACCAAGTTGTTGTACATGCTTATTATCAGTGGGTTTGTTTTGTTCTCTTATTTCAAGCTGTGCTATTTTACATACCAAGATATATATGGAGATCCTGGGAGGGTGGAAAAATCAAGAAACTTTGTCTGGAACTCACGAAACCTGTTCTGAAGAGAGAAGAAAAAGAGACGCAAAGAGATATGCTGGTAAATTACTTTCTAGACACAAATAATAACAACGGATCCTACGCTCTTCGGTACTTCTTCTGCGAAATCATGAATTTCATCAATATTCTTGGACAGATTTACTTCACTGACTATTTTCTGGGTCAAGAATTCACGAAATTTGGCCCTCAAGTGGTAAAGTTCACTATGACGGAGCAAGAGGAAAGATTAGATCCCATGGTAAAAGTATTTCCTCGTATGACGAAGTGCTCTTTTCAAAAGTTCGGATCTTCCGGAGATGTTCAAAGACACGACGCTCTCTGTCTTCTTCCTCTAAACATCGTTAACGAAAAAATCTTCGTTGTCCTTTGGTTTTGTTTTGTTATTCTCGCCGCACTGACAGGCCTAAATGTTTTATACCGGTTAATCTTCATGGTTTCTTCTGCCGCCAGATATACTATGCTTCGTTCGTTGTGCCGTTTCTCCTATAAGGATGAGATAGAGAAAGTTCTGGAAAAACTCTCACACGGAGATTACTTCATTCTACATCTTCTCGCTTTCAACATTCACTCCGCCCATATGAAGGAGGTGATATCTAAGCTAGCAGAAGGGCTTCATGGCCGAAAACCGAGCAGCGCTGAAGAAAGTATGAGAGAGAACAGTGCACTCTCTGTACCGTAGATGTTTTAAAACCAAGAAACTGTTATCGGTGTAATGTAATCTGTGCTTCATCGTAAAAATGTTATGACGGTTATATACTATTTCCATTGAAATACTTTTAACTATATAGTAAATAGTGATGATATTTCAAAGCCTTTATTTTATAAGGTAGATTTATTATCTCAGTATCTAACCTAGATTAGTTACACTATTATGATAGAAAAAGTTTGCCAATGAAAATGTATTAAAGAAAGCTTTGGTTTCAGTTTTGTTAATAAACGGAAGATCCTGGATAGACGTATGTAAGTCTAAATATGTTACTTCCAGGAGTAAAATGCTCATAAAAAAAAAGGTAGAGGTACTTAGCTGGTGAAGTGGGCCTGTTTTTGGTAAAGATATCTACATGTAAACATAAAAAGACGAAAAGCAGCTCAAATAAGTCTCGGTACTAGTACCGTAAAAATAAGTTCTGGCTCAGTACCGGTGAATAGCGACATAATTTCACCCCTGGTTGCGTCAGTTTTACGTTTATAATAGATTAGAAACAAACAGTTGCAGTCTGCTGCTCATCTCTTATAAAGATACATCAGCAGCCAATTAACACAAGAATGATACGAAACTAAAACGCCCCCCAGTGGCACAGCGGAATGTCTGCGGACTCGCACTGCTAGAAACTGGGTTTTGATACCCTTGGTGGGCAGAGCACAGATAGCCCCTTGTGTAGCTTTGTGCTTAATCCCAAACAATCAATCGATCGAAACTAAAATACTTACCTAGCTGTCAGGCTTTACAATGCTGGGATTCTTTACAGTAGGTATCTGTGAATTTTTGGGGATAAATTTCAAAAATAAATGGACAGCACACAATTCACTTGTTTTAAAACAATTCAAAAATATGTACAAAAATTCGTTACACTGTTGGTTATCACAGTTGTATCCAGAGGTTTAAATAATTGCCTCCTTTTCATCAAAGTCCACACAGGTGGGTTCAATTACTTCAAAACACCCTTTGACAAGACAAATTATTCTCCTTTGTCTCTGTTATTACAATACAAGCTGTGAAACTCACTTTAGAAATTGGCCATCATGGCTGAACTCACACGCAGTCTAACTTCACTTTTACTTTCACTAACTTACTTTTGCTGACTTGGTTGCCTATATGTATATATATATATACATTTCTCGATTGAGGCCTAGAACTTTCAACAAATTACGAGACGTTATGATGTAACAATACTCAATTAAAGCAACGAGAAAAATTCAGAAAGTTCGAGTAACATGACGTCAATTCACAACAATTGAACTACACAACAAATGATTCGTAAACAGTTACGTAAGTATACCTGCGAAACATTATCGCTTCTAAAAGTACTAAATTTAACACTTGCACCTTATAACTATCTAAATCATAACTCATAATAAAGTTAAATGAAAAAGTGTGTATCTAACACTAGCTCGCTGTTACCTCAGTTGATGTGCAAATAGCGTTAAGACAAAGCTTCAATATACTTGTTGCAGAACGCGACATTTCGACCAATAAGGATTACAATGGACAACAAAAAATTTGCTATTGGACAAAAGTGATTCGGGGTAATTTGATGGTGCTGATTTCAAAAATGTAGTCCAAATTTTTCCATCATCTCTAGATTTTGAGTTATTGTAATACCCAAATATGTTATCTGTGCTATTTGAAATACCATACAATCAACTCAATACAATAGATTTATGCTGTGAAATTGAGTTTACTTAGACAGATTAATGGGTAAAAGGTATATATATATATATATATATATATTTGATAATTTCAAACATTGACTGTATTGTGTTGGTGTAAATTTCCAAATATATTTTTCTATATGCTATTTGTTCTAGATATAATTGTAGCAAATTGCACCCCTTTTGCTTCATTCCCATGCTCATCTGTTTCGCCTGGGAATCACGAAACCCTCGCGTGCTCAATTTACTTGAACATTCGAGAAGTCCCTCGACTGAGCATAAAAGGGTGGAGTCTCTCACTCAGTTTCCTCTCACTCACTCAGTTGGTCACTTTGCCTCACTCTGCACACAATCAAAACAAAGTCTGATCTTCTTCCTTGCATCATACCCGTCATATAATCAAATTCTACAAAACTGCCACAAAATGAGAACCCTAGTGGCACAGCGGTATGTCTGCGGTCATTCAACTCAAGAAACCGGGTTTCGATACTCGTGGTGGGCAGAACACAGATAGCCCATTGTGTAGCTTTGTGCTTAATTACCAACAAACATACAGAAAATGAAACGTGAGTTAGTTATTCTTTTAATTTCTGTCAGTTTAACTTTAATAAAGTAACATTATAATATGATTAACCAATTACGGTCTACACATTCAATGCATGTCTGATAAAAAAAAATTGAGCACACAAATCTTAGCAATTGGTATTGCATACTTTTCCTGTAAAGCTTTTTTTTTACGTCGTGTATTACACTGTAAGTGTTAAGTAGAGGCCTCTTGCAAGATTGATTATTTGTTTTTTCTCCATCAGAGAGGGATGATTGCTGCCCAGTGGATAGCGTGCCGGACTAGAGAGTTGAGGTTCAGTAGTTCAGTAAAATCACGCTCTGTCCTTTACCACCGTGGGCACCTTACGAGGTACCGGCTAAGAGTTGGCGACATGTGATGTTAATCAGCTAAACCCATTTAGTCTGTCAGTTCAAAATTAGGACCGACTAGCCAGATAGCCCTCGTGTAGCCTTGCATTTTTTTTTAATTTCGTAAGACTAGAGAGAAGGAAGCTAGTCATCACCGCCCACCGCCAACTCTTGAGCTGCTCTTTTACCAACGAATAGTGGGATTGACCGTCACATTATAACACCCCGCGGCTGAAAGGGCGAGCATGTTTGGTGTGACAGGTATTCGAACCCGTGACACTCACATTGCGAATCGAGCGCCCTAACCACCTGGGTAGCTTTGCGTCAATCCAACAAAACAGACCCTTCAATACGACGTATTATGATAAGTTTGGATTGTAAAATAAAATGTTTTCGAACTTTTCGAGATTAGGGTAAGGAGAAACAAGTAAAGAGTAGTGTAACGTGATTCGAGGTTTCACACAGTTATTAAAAAAAATGCTATATGAAGTAACATTTATAAACTGACATTCAGTGTTAGTGGATGGAGAAAATAAACCATACCGTAGTGTGACCAAGGGCGGATTGGGAACCTAAAATGGCCCGGGCAAATACCCAAAAATCAGGATGATATGTGCATGTACAGTAGCACTGGCCCAGGCGCCACCGGCCCACCGGGATTTGGCCCGGCGGCCCAATCCGCCCCTGTGTGTGACTGAGAAAATAATATCAGTGATCACAGCACCTGCCTTCAAAACCAATGCATTCAAGGCAGAAATTCTCGTTTCCTTTTTAGTCGTTAAATCATTTATTTAAATATAAAAATATAGTGATTACACAATTAGTGGTTTAGTTACTGTCGGCCACCCCTGTATTTGACATTACACTATACCAAAAATGAACTAAAGGCGCAGACGCAATCGGAGTAACAAGTATAGTGAATTATTCAATGACAATCAAATCATACAATGTATATGAAAACATACAGGCGAGTCCCATTTTCCTATTACTGTCAACCCACGTTCATTTATTTGTAATCGTCAGCTTGCCTGGAGATGCATTTAAAACAAGTGACTATGGCTGCTGAGACCTTACTCGAAAAAACAAATAATAAAAACGTAGAAAAAATACACCTCGTTTTTGTGTTTTAATATGCATGTATAATCCACGCTATGAGCCTACATTAATATCTCAAAACGTGCAATACAACATTTTTCACGTACTTGATTTGTTAAAGCCACATGTTTTCAACACGTGATCTTAATACAAAAAAAAGTATTAGCCCATCAAGTTTAATTCTACGTTTTTTGTTGTTGTTTTTATGCAGAATGTTACATATCATATTTTAGAAATTAGAAGTAGTCCTTTATTTATCCCCAAAAATTTTTAATTTTCAGATCTTTGGTGTCAAATAATAATGAAACGAAAATGCTGAAAATAAACGTATTAATATTACAAATGAATATTTTGGAAAAGCTATGACTCTCTCTATAAATGTTAAGAATTATATAAAAAAAACAACATTATTTTTTAAAATTTAAGAGTACACCAATAAAATAGTTTATGACGACATACTGTTTAAACACTTGTGATTTTCAATAAATAATAAATACAAGTAATGAAACAAAACACCGTAGTATACACTCACACAATATATATACATATAGATAAAATATTTGTCTGCTAAGTTCCCCTTTCTATTGCAAGGGGAATAACCTAAACGATTAGTTTCAACTATGGTTTGCAGTGCCTGAAAGCCCCCCAGTGGCACAGCGGTATGTCTGCGGACTTACAACGCTAGAAACCTGGTTTCGATACCCGTGGTGGGCAGAGCACATATAGCCCATTGTGTAGCTTTGTGCTTAAATTCAAACAAACAAACAGTACCTGAAAAATGGGCCTGCCATCTACTGTCGTCAAAACAAACTACATATTTGTTTACAATTTTCAGCGAGTTCTTTATTTATCACTGTTCCCCGGTGGGTCAGCGGTAAGTTTATGGACTTATAATGCTAAAATTCAGGGTTAGATATCGTGCAGTCGATAGAGCGCAGACAGCTCATTGTTTAGTATTTTGCTAAAATGAACAAACAAATACTCACCACTATTAACCTAAAATACTTTAGGTGTTTGAATATTATATGACCATATTGTCACAACAGATTATTAATAATTATTCAAAGGACTATATGGTAAATTATTGTGAATTTTTCTTCTCGCCATTAAAATGCATACCTTCAGTGAAAAGAAAATCCATGAATGACAATGCGAGACCTATCCTTTTGGTCGCTACGCATATTTTCATTCATGGATTTTTTCCTTTACACATTTAAGTAACGATAAGAAAAATTCACAATTAATAAAAGTACAATGGTTTACTCTGTTTAGTAACTAAATGATTATGGGAATTTTCGGCTTAATTTTTCAATGTAATATCAATGATTTACTCTGTTTAGTAACTAAATTATTATGGGAATTTTCGGCTTTAATTTTTCAATGTAACATCAATGAGTTACTCTGTTTAGTAACTAAATGATTATGGGAATTTTCGGCTTAATTTTTCAATGTAACATCAATGATTTACTCTGTTTAGTAACTAAATTATTATGGGAATTTTCGGCTTAATTTTTCAATGTAACATCAATGATTTACTCTGTTTAGTAACTAAATTATTATGGGAATTTTCGG